GGTGCAACCTAAAAGTGGCGTTAGAGCGAGAAATAATCCACACTCAAATTGGCGCCCACGGTCGGTTGTGATGTAAGGTGGACATCCGAAGTTCGCGATCCATCTTTCGACGAAAACACGATCAACCGTTTCCGCAGTAATATCCTTAATAGGTACTGCTTTCGGCCATCGTGTGAAACGATCAACACAAGTGAAAAGGTAGGTACATCCATTAGATTCTGGTAAAGGTCCTACAATATCTATATGGACGTGGTCGAAACGCATGTCTGGGGCTAGAAAAGAGCCTAAAGGGCTTTTCGTGTGTCGTGTGACTTTACACTTTTGACAAGCTAAGCACGACTGAGCCCACTCCTTAACGTCTTTGTTCATCTCAGGCCAACAGAAACGTTGTGCAATAAGCCTAATGGTGGCTCGCACACCTGGATGAGAGAGTTTGTGCAACGTATTGAAGACGTTGCGTCGACAAATCTTCCGAACTATTGGGCGTGGTTGACTAACAGAGATATCGCACAAAATTGTATCCTTGTCTGATCCAACCGGACAAAGTCGCAGCTTGAGAGTTGTGAACGACAACTCATGATGCAGCTCAATGTCTTCCTTTTGACGCCGAGCTAACTCAACGAGATCAACGCCCTCGATATGATTTATAGAAGCCATTCGTGATAGTGCATCGGCTACGGAGTTATTTGCTCCAGAAATGTGGCTGATGTCTGACATGAACTGGGAAATGTAGTCCAGCTGTCGTGACTCACGAGGGGAGTATTTGTCAGACGCCGAGCTGAAGGAAAACGTTAACGGTTTGTGGTCTGTGAAAATAATGAAATCACGACCTTCCACGGAATGTCGAAAGTGGCGTACAAAACAGTACATAGCTAGGAAATCCCTACCAAATGTACTGTATCTTGTTTCCGCGTCTTGCAGCCGCCTAGAGAAAAAGGCTAACGGTTGCCACTGGTTGTCAGTCAGTTGTTGCAGAACTACTCCAATTGCTGAGTCAGATGCGTCAACAGCAATACTCAAAGGAGCATTGGGGTCATGATGCATAAGCATGGTTGCGTTCGAAATGGCTTCCTTGACTTTAGAAAAAGCAAATCTAGCCACGTTGTCCAGAGCCACGAACTTCGCAGTTCCTCGAAGTAGATCTGTTAGTGGTCTCATGACAGAGGCACAGTTGGGGATAAACCTTCGGTAATAACTTACCAGGCCATTGAAAGTGCGGAGATGTTTTACAGTGGTCGGCTCTGGATAGTTTGTGATAGACGCCACTTTATCTCTCAATGGGCGTATACCTTTATTGTCAATGGTATGCCCAAGGAAGCTGGGAGATTCAACTCCTATTTCACACTTCTGTAAGTTGACTGTGATGCCATGTTTTTTAAGTCTTTCGAATGCGAGGTCCAAATGTTTAGGGTGAGTTTCCTTATCTGGACTCGCAATTAGACAGTCATCGACGTAGACATGAAAAAAATTCAAACCACGGAAGACATCATCCACAAAGCGTTGGAATGTTTGTGCTGCATTCCGAAGACCAAATGGCATGCGCAGGAATTCAAACAGGCCAAAAGGAGTAATAATGGCTGTTTTCGCGATATCTTCTGCTGCCATAGGTATCTGGTTGTACGCTTTGACCAAATCGATTTTTGGGAAAATGTTCATTCCGCATAAGGTTGCAGTCAAATCGTAAAGGTGAGGTATCGGGTAGCAGTCCGGAGTTGTTTTGGCGTTAAGCCCTCGGTAATCACCGGTTAGACGCCAGTCGTTGCTATCCTTTTTGGGAAACATGTGCAATGGCGATGCCCAAGGACTGTTCGACGGTCTGATAATGCTCACTTCGAGCATGTGGTCGGATTCGCTTTTCGCCGTTTTGAGCTTATCGGGGGCTAGACGGCGCGCTTTGGATGCCACAGGTGGACCTGTGGTTGTCACGTGATGCATAAAATTGCTGGTTATGCACGGAAGAGTGTGCTTCGGTTGCTGCGACTCTGGATATTTCTCCAAAACTGCTTGGTAGGACGCGTCGCCTGATTGTTTTGTTCTAACGAGGACTAAACTCGGACCTACATAGATGGTGCCGCCAATAGATAACTTTGTGTTGTTATCTATCAGACCTCGACGGCGAGCATCCACGAGTAGATGGTAATGGTTTGGCAAATCTATGCCAATGATGGGCATAGAGACGTCAGCAAGGAGGAAAATCCAGTGGATAGGTCTACGTAAACCTAAGTTGAGGTAGGCATACCGTCTCCCAAATGTCGCAATTGCCTTGCCGTTGGCTGCTTGGAGATTGGAAAATGGGTTATGATGACGTTCCTTTGTCGGTGCGAGAAGAACGCCAACTTCTGCGCCGGTGTCGACGAGGTAGCGAACTTTCGTTTGAATATCCATGAAGTAGAGCAAACGGCTGTTTCCGCCGGCTACGGTTGCCGTGAACACGTGCCGGCGTGACCGTTTTCTGAGTTTGTGTCCTTGTTAAAACTGCATGGTTTCCGACATTTCCCTGCTTCGTCTCCGTAAGCATCATGAAACCAGCACCATTCAGGGTTTTCCACCCTGTTAGGTTTAGTTTTGGGGCAGTGTGTGACGCTACACCTTCATACCATAAGCCACATGTGCTTACTCAATGTGTACCCTGTTGCACAATGTTATCTGAAGTGTTTTGAAGAAGGAAAAAGTCATGGGCTGCCAGACTAAAATATTGGATCATTGCATAAAGATCTTGACTACTGGTTTGGGCCATGTATGTAGATGTAGACTTCCATTTCGAGTCCGCATGACAACAGAAACTAATGGTTAAAGATTCTAATTAAAGTGGCTCAGAATTGATCTCAGTGGTGCAGATGTATCCACTCATTATTTTCATACTAATCGCCATACTGAATGCAGTATTTTATTCCTTCTTTCTCTGTTTTTATTACTTCCTACTGCGTCTGAACGCCCCTATCAATTTTTTATCTTTCATCTCAGACAAGTTTGAATCATAGAAGTTGAAAAAAAGGAAATCAACTGTTCAGAGTGTCAAACAGACTGAGTTTCGAATTTTTTGTAGAAGTTCGGTTGTAAACGCAAGCTATAAAGAGAAGGAATTTCTCTTTTGAAAGTTTCAAACGATTATTCACCCTCATCAATCTGATGCGTTTTCGAATCCATCCTTAGAAGGGAATAAAACATTTGTAGCGAATGGTACGTCAATATGTGTAAATGATGACAATCAACCCGTTAGGTTTTTATGTACTATGCTATGAGCTAAACCTGTTGTGAGAGTGTGTGATACCAGTCGATTATCCAGGCCAAAGTAGACGGAACAAGACTTGGACCGAAGTCCCTAAGTCTAGAAATCGAATGCTTAGGACGATGAAACGAAAAGTACAGTCATTTTGAAATATTCCATCAAAATGGTAAACGTTAGTAATAAAAAAGAGTTTGATTCAATAAAACCTGTGAGGTATATACTCCAAAATCCACATAAACCGTTGACGGTTTATAAAACAAAAACAGGTTTTTAAGTTCATTTGAGGAGAAGAAAAGGGAAATACAAGGAACAACATACTGTTGAGATTTTAACAAAAACAGCTAACATTTTCAGACAGTAATATTACAAAATAATAAATCTGCTTGAATCTTATTCACGCCAACTGTATTGTATTTGTTCCATCAGCCTTTTTTGATTCGTTGATGTCCGTTTTATTTCCAATGGGTTTCCTTCTGCAAGCTTTGGTTTTTTGTTTTGCTTTACAATTTTCACCAGTAGTATCCAATGTTACTTGTCTGTTATTCTCAGTTTGACTTTTATGGTAATCCATCAAATGCTGCAGCTATCAGACATAAATCAGCATTAAAATTTTTAAAATGTAAGTATACAAACAGTTCAAATGCATAAAAGAACAGAGGAATATGTAACGTGATAAGGTTACTTGATATAATACTGGTGTGTCATAGGAATATATTAGCTACAGTTATACGTTAAGACGAGGAAATAGTTTATCCAAGACAATTGTTTCGGATAATCTAAGCTTGGTTGGGCGTCTGAGGGTGTCATGAAAGAGATCGTGTGAGGAAGAAATAAAGCTTCTGGACAGTCGTGAAGATAAGTTCAAAAGACTGTAGGGAACAGAGTGGAGACGTGCTACTGAAGCTTTATGTTCCACTAGGAACCCAGGGGACAAATGAATAATAATAATGCTGGTTACCATTCGCATGCGTCGCTACCTTGCTACTATGGTCTTAATAATTGACAAGGATTGGTTTGATGTTCTATACATACATGGGATTATGAACATTAATGCTAAACCCGGGGAGACCTAATCGAAAACAATATCGAACACCTGCACATCTTGTTCTAATTTTACACTGCTTTTTTATCGCCTTTCCTGACATTTTAACCTCTTGTTTATCCTTTCGGTAGATTCGCTGGTCATTCAGTATTTCATATCATGACAATTGGATTCGACACAACATAGAACTGGGTTCTACATACTTAAATGCACAATGAAGTTCTTGACACAGAGATAAAAATAACAGTGTACAATAATTGATAGAAAACCCCATGGGTAATTCTGGTTCCGTCTGACAACCATCTCCATGAGCGCACGACTCTGCAAGAGGAATAATACTTCCCCAAACCAAAGAAATTCACGGAAAAGAGTGGTTTCTTCACGCGACCAATGAGTTAGGAAAACATAACCGTTATTTCAGTTTGAAAAAACGCAACATTCCCATCATGTTAACGTTATCACGTCCAGAAGATTTTCATACACGTAAACCAGCAGCAAATATTTTTATTCCGATTATACGAAACATTAAATAATCCACATGAAGACTAATTACTACGTCATCCAACACTGCAGGCAACCAATACTTCAAACAGCCCAGAAGAAGCAACACAAACTACAAGAACATGGCGTAGAATAAAACGCACTATACAGCTTTCGAGATATATGCTACAATCATAATCAAATCTGGCAAATTTCAATTCACAAGTTCACCCAGAAATTTGCCTAGTTTTCCAATATGCGATCACCAGATACGTACCTAATGCGAAGAAGCTCCTTCAAGAAAAAACATCTGAAATCAAAAGATTTACACACAGCCGTCCATAAACAAACAGATGGGCCTAGAAAAATAATCCCCAGAGAAACAATTTCGATGTGACAACATTGAAGGGCAAAACGATAGTCGACTACTGGATGCATTTTAGGGATCATCTACAACTACTATCCATCACCCTTGCACCACATAATACTCCAACTGGTGAAGTTAGTAGCAGCGAAGTCTCCCGACAGTAAGAATATACAGCTGTTCTTAGCGTGATCTACCGCATTACAATTAGTCAGACTCATGATTTTGTCCGTCAGTGTGTGTATCACTGGTTGCAACAGAAACAGCCGCTGTCTCATCGTTAGAGATTTCAACGCACCCAATCTCAACTCGTCTCAAAAGAACCTCAAACAAATTGTCTAAGCCATTCCAAACTAGACTGCTTCTCGATCTCTCTTTCCCTCTGGCTGTGGTCCAATATGTCCTCATACAGTATCTCTGCAGTAACACACACAGTGGTCCAAGCAAACCATCCTCCTGGCTACATCTCTTGCTGACACGTCAGGTTCATGGCGTATTCCTCCTTTCAATCACCTCGACATGTAAACGATAGACTGACATCTTACAAGCATTGGAGATGACCTGTCTTGGCTAGTGGTCAACCCGCCCGCCATAACTCACCAGAGATCTCGGCAACCAACCAACCAACTCCGGCTGATATAACTCTACAAGTAAGTCAATTGGTCAACCCACTATACCACTTCACTACTCATCTTTCACGTTCCACTTGGTGCAGCACACCAGCAGCTCTCAAGCATTATCTCACGTTTAACAGGTGCCAAACCCATCCCAATCAAACAGACTCACATCTCTGCTCAATAAGCTAAGAAGATTCTGCATTTTATCAGACTCCTCGCGTAACACAACCACCAATAGGTCAGTCAACTAGCTGCCCATCACAGTCAGTCAATCAACGAAAAGTCGAAGATCTCTACGGTTACCACATCCCTAGGCTCCTCTATAACAAAGTTCAACACAAATCCTGACACCCGACATCCTTGGTGGACACAACTGACTGTCATCACTTCAGACGACAACTCTTCATCAATCCGTATACACCTGCATCACTTCCACTAGACATCCAGGATCACTATTGCATACTCGATCTATATTCACATCGCAGTCAGACAATCCCATAACAATCATCGGCCAACACAGTTGAAACATTATAACAGTCGCTGGCAATCCCGTTTCTACTCAACACTGGCTTTGCAAAGTTGGGTGACGCCGTGAAGAACAACGCCACCAGCTGCAGCACGTACCATAGTTGCTTCCGGTCGTCCAACAATTAGGCCTGGTTGGTCGTTGCAGGACAGAACGGAAAGATGAGATCCCGGCTGAACTACAAGCAATACGTAAAAATCCTGCTGTTACTGGGTCTCCCGACAGTCACCACGTCATGGAAGAAAATCACCACAAGACCTGTGTGCAGAAGTCAGATGAATTGATAACTCTAAGCCTCTCGTACACCAATGCTAACCAGCCCACCCAACAAATCACACGACACACGAGTTTTGGCGCACCAACCTCACACCGACGCAGTCTATTCCACACACCTCTTCCCCTTGTTTACGGCCACAAATTTACATTTAAAAAAACAATAGTCATCAGCACACAAACCATTTGGATGTCACAACATTGAAGGGCAAAACGATAGTCGACTACTGGATGCATTTTAGGGATCATCTACAACTACTATCCATCACCCTTGCACCACATAATACTCCAACTGGTGAAGTTAGTAGCAGCGAAGTCTCCCGACAGTAAGAATATACAGCTGTTCTTAGCGTGATCTACCGCATTACAATTAGTCAGACTCATGATTTTGTCCGTCATCATCATCATCATCACTATTATCAACATAGGACCAGGCACTACTGCGTAACGGTCCGAGTTGCCACACCTCATATCAGCACATCAAGTAAAAAGGTAGTGAGGCGAAGGATGAAGATAAGTGAATGCAGTCAAAAGAAATATAAAGTACGAAAAGAAAAGAAAGAGGAGTGACAAAATAGTGAGATTCGGTATAGCGTTGTTAAGATGAGGATAATGTGTGTATACATCTGAGCCATATCACCTAGGGTCTCCAACCACCTAGCCTACATCGTCCTACTTGGCTTAAACCAACAGTCAGAGACTTCATACATTGGTGCCATGTTTTGGTGTGGCCACCTCGGGCCTTTTTCCAGCCTGGACCCACCTCAGCCAACATTGTGTGACGAGGCAGTCGGTGACTAGGCATACGCAGTACGTGTCCCAACCATCTCAGTCGATGAAGGTTCACAACCTCGTCGACTGACTTACCTCTTCTCCCTAAAACTCTACACCTAATTTCTGCATTACTCACGTGGTGACACCACGGAATACGTCCTATAAGACGAAGGCAACAGTGGTCAAACACCTGAAGCCTTTTTGTATCCTCCACTTTCAATGGCCATGTTTCACAGCCATATAGTAGAACAGAGCGGACTGCTGTGAAGTACACGCGACCCTCAATAGACAAACGAATATCACGGCAGCGCCATAGGTGGCGCAGATTGGCAAAAGCCAATCGAACCTTTTGTATCCGTGCAGAAATCTCATCGGCAACTAACCCACTGGGGTTGATCCTACTTCCCAGGTAAGTGAAGTGGTCAACACACTCAACCACTTCACTCTCTATTGTTAACCGCGGTACCGCTGAAGACCAGTTCTGGAGCAAAAATTTGCATTTGGGTGGTGAAAACCGCATCCCAAACATTCTCAAATTCCCACTCAAAGTGTTCAGAAGACTCTGCATCTTGTCAGCGTCTTCACCTAACAGGACTATGTCATCTGCATATTCTAGATCTAAAGAGAATTCACCTGTGATCGGGTCAACGTCTGTGTAATCAGGTGACGAGAGGGAAACCTCCATAAGAATATCTAGGATAAAATTAAATAAGAAAGGGGATAGTGGGCATCCTTGACGGACACCACTTGATGAGTATAGCTCCCTGGACAACTCGCCATAGGCTCTAACACACCCACAAGTGTTCGAGTAGAGAGCTTTCAATAAGATGATGTACTTACTAGGCACGCCTTCAGTGACAGACATTGCCATAAGACTTCTCGATCAACGGAGTCGAATGCCGCCGCCTTCAGGTCGAGAAATACAGCTATTGTCGGGCGTCTGTAAGCATGCCTATGTTCCAGGACCTGGCGCAGTGTGAATATTTGGTCGATACATCCACGGCCAGGTCTAAAGCCTGCCTGGTTTTCTCGGGCTTGCTGTTCCCGAGCTCCACTCAGGCGTCGGAGAATTATAGAACTTAGGATCTTAGACACTATGTTCGTCAGGCTGATTCCTCTGTCTCCACTTTAGTATTTTTGAGGAATTCAATAATCAGTCTTAAGATAGACCCTTAACCTATATTAATCTTTCCCAGTGATATTACTGTGAAGATCCAGTTTTACATTGAAAACGACAATATAAGGTGCAGGCACTTTGGGTTCCGAAACAGCCTCATTAGTTCAAACTTCTCTACAAAATGAATTTTCAGACGTAGACAGTTTAACCGTGGTTGAAGAACTTTTCATTATGTTCTTTGAGACTGACAGTTCTAGAGGTAAAGAATCACAAGATAATTTAGCACATAGGTGATTAGTTAGAATGCCATACGTGACATAAAATCAAACTTCATTCTACTATGACAGTAGAATAAGAGCTAGTCTGTAAATTATTTCATCGTAAGAAAGA